CGCACACACACACTGATTCGTTTACGTGACAAAAACCTTAGAATTAATAATTAATTTTATACACATTCAATAACAATATTATTAATAAATTGATATTTTCCTCAACTGCCACGTGCCATTATCAGAAGTGTGGGTTGTAAATTCATAATGAATACATACAATCGTAAAAAAAACTATTTAAATTATTTAATTTTAAATTCTAATTAAAAACAAAATTATTACGAGGATGTTGTTCGTCGATACTCTGGTTTTTTACCAGAAATAATTCAGAACATTCTACTTCATTCATAACAAATTCATCGCCGAATATCATCGCTATCGATGGAAATCATTAGTTTTTTTTTCTCTATATTTGTCTATCGAAACGACCTTAAGGTCTTTGTCAATGCGTCTCTGCTATGAATCGAACCGATGACTGTGTGAGTGTAGTTCTTCACTGAAGATATCTGCGCTACAGGTTTTCCGCTATTCGTTTTAAGTCCACATGAAATCTGCCGTCATTATAAGCGCTACTATAACAATATATCATAACAACGCATTTGAAACGATGTGACGATAATAAGAATGGCAAATAAATGATAAAAAGAGGAATGCTATTTCAATTGCATTTTCGAGAACCCAAGGCCGGGAGATAAGGAATTTAGTGCTGAAAACCTAAATATTAATTTATTACACCTAAATAGAAACGATTACACTTCAACTACACACGCTATAGGCACATCTAGACCTCTAAAATATCAAGTGCTATAATTGAAAATGTCTAACAGAGCCATCCATTGTCTTTGACTCCCCTCTCCACACCATCAACTGCTAAAATTACACAATATAATTTTATAAGTTTTACGTCTACAATGATTGATATTGGAAAACTTTGTATACATAGGTATTATTTATTTATTTATATATTTTACGAGCTAAGCCCTTTTTGCATTATTAATACAACATTGCAAAGCACTATTAATTTTAATGGTAAAAACAATATGTAAACCTAAATTTACTCTTTTCATTAACACAATATTAAGATTTAACATTATAATGATCGATATTAGACACTTATGAGGGTTTACCAGTAAATAATAATATTCGAGTACAGTTAACCTCGCCGTATATTCAGTAGTTTTTGTCGTTTTTGATGTGGTCAATTAGCAATTAGTTGAAAATTTCTCGTAATCAATCCATAATCCATTTCTACATGCAKAATGTGTATGGTCGTATTCTAATTTTCTAACAATTTTAGGAAAATGCAATAATAATTTATAACGAATTTATATTATGCCTTAAATTATTAGTTATGACTTATGACTTATGATCAATATTATTTAATTTTTTTTTCGTTAAATATTTTATAATTTAAAAACATAAAATTAATTGCATTTTACTATACTACATAAACGTAGATCTAAAAAACAAGGGCCGCTAATTTTCAACTTGAGAAAGCTAAAGAACCTTTTCTACCCCCCTCCACTTTTGGCCAATGAGTCACACACTGCACGTAACACGTCACAGCTATTATTAAGGCGTGCACATTTCAGTCGTAAAACTTTTAGTATGACCATCTGTTTGGTTAACGTTTTTTATACTTTTTAATATGCATCTAACGACTAACAATAAGCTAATGCAAAATATAGTAGGCATTTCTGTGATGATTATTTCAATTTTTAAGGCCAATAATTCTACGCACCATATCATTTGGAACAGTGAATTTCATTAATTTTTCATTTGCATTAAACTATTATAAATTGGAAAGAAAATTTAATTGAAACTAAAAATGGGAAATTATTGTATTATTTTGACACATTTTTGCATCTGAATTATGGGCTGACAGAACTTTAATATGTAAAAGGATTGACACTTGTCAGCAATCTCACCTGCAGAGTATATTCAATAAAAAGTAATCATTATTCATTTATTTAGGTACTCTTAATGATATCTTTAGAACTCTCAATAGCTGATTTATAGTTTAAATATGTTATTAATAGCGCTCCTTCTATAGATTATACTGAAATTAAGTAATAAGTATAAATTCGGTTAAAATTAACTTGGTTATAACATCAGTTCACGGTGCACATTTCGAACAGTTAAAAAATATATTTTATAAAATATTAATGAGTACCTAGAGTGATAATCGTTATTGGATTTACATTATTCGTTAGCKGACTATTAAAAAGTGTAAGACCGTTCAATCGGGTGGAATTTGCTGGGTTTTTGAAATACTACGAATTATTTTGATTCGCTCAAAATTCAAAATTTTTTTCTTTTGATGACATCAATTGGTAGCTAAATAAATATCTATTTATAAAATATTATATAAATGTGAAATGGGATTTTTTTTTTTATTAATGGTTATAAATCTCTGAAAAAAACTACTGGATCGATTTCAATAAAATTAATATCAGTAGATTTCTTAAGACTCAAAGGGTTTATTATTATTATTGAGCTTCTTTTTTTCAATTATTATAGGATAGTTTTTGCTWACGAAAATTGAAATATTTTTTTGTTTTATACGTTATGAGTTTCCATTGGTTGCAGAAATTAAATTAAACTAAAAAAAAAACTGGTGTAGGCTAACCGRCCCACCGTGCGTTGCTATGGCATTGATTTCGAATAAAGGAAACAATATTCAATTTAATGTTTGTTAATCAAACGCAGACACAATATTAAAGGCAATGATGCAATGTCTTCGCGTTTGTAGATTATAGTATAGACACTCAAAAGCTATTGGACCGATTTTGACGAAAGTTTCTCAGTTGAGAGATTATTCTTAAAGATATCGGGAAAGTTTAGATATTATTTAGTTTGAACCACGTTCGAAAATTACCAAGTGCTATAATGTCAAATTTGCCACGGGCGGAGTGCGCCCATCTCTATGGAATTAGTTCACAAAGCGAAGTATCATTAGTCCGTGAACTGAGGTTCACAATTGAATCCGAGACACGCCAATATATCATAAAACATGGTATTTTACGCTCGTTAATTTTTTCCCGGGAAAAGTCAGGTTTTACAGAATACTAGTACAGAGTGTAACAGAAATAACTGATAAAAAAAAATTATGCTAATTAAAAGTATGACAAACATTTTTAATATTATATTATGATAATTAAATAATTTGAAAAATATACTCATGTCAGCAAATTCTCAAAAATCGTATTTTTAATAAAGTTATTACATTTCAAATTATTTTACCAAAAAAAATATTGAATTAAAAAAATTCTAAAAAATAAACTACTCGACTCAGATAAATCTTTTTACCATCAAAATTTTATTCTTCTTATAATCAGATTCACAAATAGAATATTTTTAATTTATCAAAATTTTTCTTTTCTGTACTAAAAATAAACATAAAAAAATGTATGATACATGTAGCGCTGGGGTCACCACTTAATGAAAACAAAACAAAATAAATAAAATATTAATTTGAACAAAATGTATTTAAAAAATCAGTTCTATCTGTTACAACTTGTATAGTAGGTGTTTACCTATAACGAAAAAGCAGACGAGGATGCAAAACTTTCAAACATGTCACCTATAATAGGAATTACTATGTTAGAATTTCCTTACACCGATGCAAAAAAAAAAAAAAAACAATAAAACCTCACTACCTAAGTTTGGAAACACTATAATGGTCGAAACAGACGGCTAAACTCAATGAAATTAAAAATGTCAATAATCCCTTGGCCTCCATTGTCAAATCATTGCTCTAGAAAACAAGAAACAATTTTAAATCGTCTCAGAATAGACCACACCTTATACTTGCTCATCAATGTCTAATTACAAAAAACGAGCCATCCAAATGTAGTCTAACAAGAGGCGTCCAATTGGTTATTATTTGGCATTCAGTGAAGATGATGTGCTTAAACATGCTTTATTAAGCACATCATCTTCWCTGAATGCCCAAAGTTATCAGAAATATCGAGTGGAAACCTTCTGTTCCGCCCACATACATAMGAAATTGTCTTGCAATTGATATTCCATTTTTCTTTTTTTAATCCAATTTTTACAACAAAATATGATTCATTCTTAAGTTGAGTTTCTTTTTACGCATCAAAATACTTTATGCATTTTACTGTAAGTCGCCAACCTAACCAATGGCCAGAGTTGCCACAGATTTTTTGTTCAATAAGAAAACAAAAAGTAGGTGCCTGTTGTATACTTTTGTGAGTTCAGACTTACGGGTTTACCAATCAACAGTGGAGTCAGATTTAAAAAAATTAAGAGCTAAAAAACAATAGCCCAGGGATCGCATTAAAACTAAATTCTTAACTTAATATATTTATATATAAAGATACATTGTATGACAGATGCCGTATAATAAATAGACGTTTCCAAATTTTTCGTTTTACTTATTTCGTTAATTCGTATTTATCTTATGTGACAAAGTTGCCATTTGGAAGGTCCGTAAAATAGTGGTGAGAGGTCAAGGGGTACGCGAATGAAAATACGATTATCAACGGACAGCTTTTCATTTATGTTATTATAGTCTATATATTATTATAATTTAACATCACTAAACATTATATTGCATACGAGTCTGCAATGAATTAMGACATTTTATGTCTTTGCTATCATATGTAGCACATATGTGTGTGCGTGATGTGTTTGTGGAGGAGTGATGCTCTCGGAGCGCGGCTTTCGCTATATGCTCAAATGGTTAAATTTCGAACGTCGATGCAGCAGTTGTGATGAGCGCGGATATCGARTTCGAATCTCGTATGAGAAAAACGATTCTTTGCAATTTTTTTTTTCGTAACGTAACGTTTTTCGATTTCGATTCTCTGTGCCAAAGCAAAGACATAAAACGTCAAAAAGGTTGAGAAATGCGTGTATATAGTATATTACGTTTGTAACAGTGTTTGAAAGATATAACAGAGAATGTTTCGCCCACAAACTTTCACCACCGACTCCATTACCACCACCTTCCACCTCCAACACCACCACCACCCCACTCCTACCACCACCATTTGCCTGCAATACCGTCGTCCACGGCGGTGACCCGCACTCACCAGCACGGCGACCGCCTGAGCAAAGCTGACGGTGTGGCACAAGTCGCTGCCGAACGGCCAGTACTGGAGCAGCAGCGTGGCGACGAACGAGAACGGCACGCAGAACAGCGTCATGAGCAGGTCGCCGACGGCCATGTTCATGATGAAYAGGTTGGTGACCGAGCGCATCTGCGTGGAGAACAGGACCACGTGGCACACCAGCCCGTTGCCGACCAGCGACACGACGAACACGATCGTGTACGTCAGGTAGACGAGCGTTTGGAACGCGGCCGTGCCCAGTGCGCCTTCGATCTCGGAGTGACAGGACAGCCCGTCCGCGGCGCCGGTCCCGTTCCACTGCGTAGCGGCCGCAGCGTCGGTGGCGTTCCACGGCGTGGCCGCCGTCTCGCCGTCGTTCTCGGCCATGATGGCGCCGCCGTCCTATCCGCCACGGGACACCTGCAACGACACGAACACGCGCATAGAACTATTAGTCATTTTTGTTCAAATTGGTCGATTAGTCATTTTTAGTAGTCAGATTGGTTGTTAGTCGTCGTTTACCATAATATTTGTTACTGATAACCCGGGGGTGCTGTGGCCGGGTGGATTAAGGCGTCGAAAGGCAGAAACCTACGGGTTGCCCATTCGAAATTCCGCCAAAAACATCCACGAGTTCCAAAAACCAACAGTTCCTTCCCCACTGTTCAGGATGACACGAAATGCATTCAAACAAATACAATTTTGTTGTACCAATAACTGTCATCCTTATAATACGGATTGTTAACTCGTAATTGATGGATCTGATAAATATAATTTATAATTTGATGCTAATAATCAAACGTTGTGAACATCATACGAATGACAAATAATTTAAGAATGATAGGTAGGATCTTGTTGGGAGATAGCCAAAAACTATATTTTGAAAAATGTGATTACTCCAAACAAACATTTATGTTTTAAACTGCCATAAAACTACTATTGACTACGTTTTTCTACGAATTAGATTTACGAGTGTGCTATTTTGATTTGAAAATTAAAAGTTGGTAAATATTGATTAACACAAAAATTGTTCCGTTCGACTGGTCATATGGTTACATCTAGCATACATAGGTATATCACTGGAAAGGTATATTGTAAAGAAGATTGAAATAAACATTTTTCTTATTTTTTTTACACATGCGAAAAAAACGTCGAAACGGGTAAAATATGAAAATTGGGATACACCAGTGTAGGCGCCATTTGTCCAGTTACATATAACATTAAAACGTTTTTCTAGATTGAAGTCGGGTCATACGAGATATAAAAAATGTAAACAATCAATATTTGTATGGAAAAAAATTATAGTTTTTTTATAGGTATTATAAAATGTTCATATGAATAAAAGGAGACGAAGAGCGAACGTAAAAATATATAATTGTGTCCGCGTGCTAAGACCTAAGAAACACAATATCTTAGAGTGTGTTGATTTTATGATCAAAATGGTTTTTCTGATTAAATTTCGAGCACTGGACGATCCTAGTAGTATTTGTTTCGATATTGTATTTCGTACCATATATAAAAAAGAAAATTGTATCCCAAATGGACTTATAAAAAACATATAAATATAGTCATGTCTATTTTAATTAATAATTTTTTAATGATTATATAACATTAGCTCTTCAGACTCTTATTTAGAGGTAGTTAAATATGCCTATACCAAAGCGTAAAATCATTTATTAGTCTTATAATTGTAGGTAGTCATCATTTGTCGTTAAAATGGATGAAAAAGTCAAAATTAAATAAATTTGGACGATTAACCTGAAATCTTGTTGATTTGAACACGGAAAGATATATGCGATAAACGCATAGATTATAATATAGATTAGTACGTAATCGTAATGCAAATAATGTTAGGATATATTATGTTTATGAAAAATAATTTGAATTCCTTACGTGTGCACTAAAATTTCAAAATAACCTCTTCAAAATGTGTGTCCATCATTTCATCTAATATGTCAATTTGTTTAATGATCCATACGTTTGTATAAATACATATTTTTTTCGTGTTTGGATAAAAATATAAAACATAATGAATAATAGTATTATAATATAAGGTGTAATGTACTTCAACAATATATTTTTTAAATATTATAATCGCTTTGATATTATTCGTCGTTTGTCGAATATAAATACCCTATCGACGAATTTGATAACAATTTTGTCGTAATAGTAGACGTCGCATCGATAAAATATTTTACTTTCGATAACAGTGTTGAAGTCACTGAAAAACCACTATAATATTGTCCGTGAATTTATTTTTAAATTGAACCAGACTTATGAAAATTAATTAGGATTAAGAGGTGGTTTGTCGGGATCGCGGAACTGAACATATGGGAATGAAATAAATTCATTAGACTTAGTCGTAGGTTTTACTCTGCATAGTAGAAAACGTAATTTTTTTTTACTGCAATATTGCTCCATATAAGTTCCCGTTGTGTCATATTTTAGTATACTGCAGAAGTTTGCGTAGGATGTGGGAGAGGGGTATAATTTATTTGAGTGTACAGGTGTAACTTATATTATAACATAATAATATATATTACGAAACCAATTTAAAAAAAATTTAAATTATTAAACTTTATTTTTATTAAATTTTATGTAGACTGTCAATGAGTATGAATATGTATTTATATATATGAAAAAAATGTATTAAAATTGAATCGCTCAAGACGGAAATTCATTTCGTAAGTGGCTGGCGTACTATTTTACCCTCCCCCCTCACCACATATGCTAACAGTGAAATCTTTAAATCTTCTAAAATAAAGAAAGAATGTAATATATTTAACATAAATGTATGAGATGAAAATATTTTTTTCCATACAATATTATGACGTATATTTATTTTTACATTTATTTCACGTTTATCTTATTGCAAAATAAGTTGACACGTTGTTGTATCGTCAACGTCAATCGCATTATCTGGGTTACAAAAATAACTCAAAGATATTATTATTTCGTGGATTATGATTATCTTGACGTTATTTTTTTCAAACAAGTTTTAGGACCTTTTTTTATGAAATCATATGTAGTATTTAACGATAATGGTACCTACGCATTGTTTTTATGCCACAAAATGAGTTTCAAGGTTGGTTGAAATACAATCAATTAGGCTTTGGCTTCGGTTTTGGCGATTAAATTAATTCCCTCCCCTTAGTTAGCAACGCCACTGCTCGGACACACCCTACCCCTCGAATAGATCACAGAACTAACTTCATAAGTGCTGAACTACAACTGTATGTATATGCAGTATCGTGACTGCCATGGTCTTATACTATACCTATTTGGATAATTAAAGGATAATCCTGATTCCTTGCTATTGTCGCTATATTATATCCTGTACCTACTATTTGACCTTTTGACCACGACGACGAGGAGATGCGTCAAGTCCGTCATCATCGGGTCGTAGAGTTTTGTCTCGAACATGTGACCCAAATAATTTCGCTGAACTGCAACGGGGTGTCTATTCTATATAGATTTATATCTTAGGTAGTGTCGTGTCCGTTTTAATAATATGACGTCGGACGGCCGCGGCGCCAGTATCGTACGATTGTCAAAAAAAAAAAAAACACATTTATCATTCGACCATATAATATTATATATTCTCTCGTTTCGATTCGTTGCACACGCATAGAGAATACCTTGGACATTGATATACGGACATACACTGTAATATCCGTCCAATCTGTAGCCCCTTTTATGCCGCCCGCAGATCTACGACACCGTCCGTCAGCACCAAACGAGACGCACCGCTGTGAGTTTTCTATATTATGTTACTATCGTCATTTTTCGGCTAGGCCTAGCTAATATACCCCTACGTCGATTCCGATACGAATACGTTTCCATCAAATCGATTTTTTATTTCTGTAATAATATTTTAATATATACTAGCTGAACCCGTGCACTTCGTAGCCCGTTAAAAATCCTATCTCTTTTATGGTCMATAGTTCATATTGTGTGTTAAATTCATTTCATGTGATGATGCTAKCAGTATRTTTTTATRCATAATGATAGACAGTGGTTAAAATATATTATAATCTTACAACGATATTCAATACCGTATATCATTATGTAATTTTCTTCGTTTTTTCAATATAATGTTGACAATTTAAATATTCAATTCAATGATATTTAGGCATAACACTTTCTAACTTTGCATATTATCTTCTGCCTATATGTCTAATAAAATTCTGTACCAAATTTTGTCGCAATCGGTCCAGCTGTTTAAGAATGTATATAGGACTAACAGATAAATATATATAACCATCACTAATAAGTAATAATACAGAACAATAATAATCGCTAATAATAACCGTCACTAAAGCAACCATTTATAAATAAACGAAAATGTCCATCCTAAAAATAAGTCCAGCTGCTCTCGAGACATAGAGTAATATTACTAATTATATAGTAATATTACTCTATGTCTCGAGAGCACTTGTTTGTTTAAATGGTTGCCTTTGACTACCAAAACATATTAATATTATTTATTTTATTTTTTACTGGGCAGATGGCGCCACTTTAATTTCATCACACCCTCATCATATTTCTCTAACCCGATGACTTTCTCAAATTTTTCATCCGTAAGAACCTTCTCCTGGCAATTACGACCCAAACAAAAAAAGAGTGAGCGAAATCGGTTCAGCCGTTCTCAATTGATGAATTGTTATACATTTTTGTCTCCATTATTATATATTATATATAGTATATTATTGTACACTATGTAYAAAATTATCTCATATAATATATTGGCTGAGTATATATAATATGACAATTTACAGACGAGTGGTAGGCACGTCCAATATATGTACTGCAGTTCCCCGCACGATAATACATCAGCTGGCAATAATAATAAAACAATTTAGAGCGAATAAGTGTCTGGGTGACTTGACGAAAACGCCTTACGTCCGAGTTAGATTACACGTCCGATTTYGGATATTACACGTAGGTATAAAAATGTCGGAAACCTTCAGACAAGCGCACCGCACTCGATTAAAGTATCCGGATATTTCCGAWTCCGAATTCCACCGTTCGGTTAAAAACTTTCGATTGTTGGCAGTCAATGCAGTATTGTGGGGACTGTCTTACTCCATTCAATAATAGTTGTTAGAGAAAAAGTATCCATTATAGCTATTGATCGTAGATAACAATATTTTTAAATTATAAATGACTTATGTTTGTAGGAGTAGCGGAAGTGAACGAGGATATAAAATAAATTATGTTTCGCAGGTTCTGAATGGTATTGTGAAAATGATTTTGTTTACTACAATACTGCACAATATCAGTTACTGATACGTCATATACCTAGGTAATAGTATCAAATATATATATATATATATATCAGTTTAACAATGATAATGATCGTTAGGCACATTATAATGTGGTAGTTTGATTTTGCGCAAAAGTTTCAAAAATATGTTTTC